TATCTGCCAAGAAAAATTCTGGGTCTAATCTAATCTAAAAATTCTGGGACTAATCTATACACACTGAACAGATATTGCACTTTACTTTCAAAATATACAGGATCCTTCCCTGAAAAAAATGGATTTCAATATTATATACAAACAGTAAAGTTCACAACAATAAAATTAATGCAATTCATAAGAATAGTAAGTAAAGCAAGACTTAATCTTAATTGAAAATCTAGAATAGTAATAAATAATATTAATACAGCTGAAGAAGAAAAAAAGGCATTGGAAGAATATCTGAAGGATAGTAAAGAAGATGCATTGAAGCTAGTAGTATACAATGAAGGCTTACTGAGTATTGGAGAGACCAAACTGGCCTACAAGAAAGACCAAAGAATAGAAAAGAGACATGGCAAGCTATAGTATTATATGGCATGTACACTACAAAAACAAAAAAACCCACCAGCCAGCCAAGCAGATAACAAAAAGAGCTGGCAATGGCTAAGTGCAGGAAAGTTGAAGAAAGACACAGGGGCTAATTCTGGCTGCATAAGACCAAACCTTAAGAACAAATGCATACAAAATTAGAATTGAGAAGACGGCAACAGACAGCAAATGCCACCTCTGCAAAGAAACTGAAGAAACAGTGGACCTAGTTAGCTGCAAACAAATCACACAGATGGACTATAAATAGTGTGATAAAGTAGTAACAATGGTGCATTGAAATATCTGCAAGCAAGAGATTTGTTCAGACCAGAAAATGGACAAAGTCTTAGAAAATGAAGACACTAAAGTACTCCAAGATTTTAGAATTCAAACCGGCAAGGATTTGCCACACAGCACTCCAGACTTAACAATACTTAACAACACATCTCATACTGGACGTGGCAGTACCTGGAAACAGCAGAATAACAGAATAGCAGAATAGAAGAGAAAGAACTAGAGAAAAATCACAAAATACAATGACTGCAAATAGAAATAGAATGACTATAGCAAAAGAAAGCAAAGATAGTATGGATAGCGATAGGTGCCTTGGGTACAATCCCAAAACATTCTGGAGGGACCACTTGAACCCCTTCAGTGTTGACAAAATCACCATCAATCAATTGCAAAAGGCAGCTTTTCTGGGAATAGCTCACATTCTGTGATAACACCTTTAATACCATCAAGCCACAATCTCAACAGTATAATCCAATCTGTAAATGTTGAATGTAAAAGAAAACGTCATAATGTTACTGCCTAGCAAATATCCCTGGGAAGAGATTTAGGAGTAAAGATTACCACAGAAAAGATGATTGTCTTGGCCTTCATAAAATGCAGTTTTTACCCAAAGTATCTCATCTTCTGATCTTAACATACACAGGTTAGTCAATTTAAGGAGCGATGCTACTTGGGTTATTTAAATGATCAGGTCCATATTCATATCATTGTATTATATAATGTATGAATTAGAATTAGATAATGTTGAGTAGCCCCTTGCTCAGTGCAGGAACTCTCCCTTGTAGCTGGCTATTCAGACATATTTGAAAGCTTCAAGTCAGGGAGAGTCCACCCTTCATGTAGGCAGGCAGATCCACTGCTTAACAGCTGTTATGATCATAAAATTCCTTGCAATGTCCAGCCTGTATCTTTTTTTTCTTTTCATTTCAACTATTGATCATTGTCCTTCTCCTGGTTTCAAAAACATTACAGGACATCTTTTTTTTAGACCACATTCACCTTTTACCACATTCATTAGTCTTCTCTTTTGCAAGCCAAATTGTTTCCAGTTCCCCATGTCCTTCATATATTTGGTTTCTGGACCATCTAGTAGCTCTTCTCTGAACTCATAACAGTATCTCTGTGCTCCTTTTAAAGGGCATTGCCCAATACTTGATAGGGTGCTCCAATGTCCAAAATGCAGCCTAACCAGAACAGAATAAAGTAAAATAGTTACCAGAATGCAATGACTCTACCAACACAGTCCAGATTACATTGGCCTTTTTCATTGTTGTACCACCCTACTTGCTCATGTTCTGCTGGAGATCCAGTAGCATTTCTAGGCCGTCCACTCCTGAGTCAGAATGTCCCAGTCACATACTTAAGCATTTGATTTTTCCTACCCTGAGGCAGGAATGTAACTATCACAATTAAACTTCATCCTGTAAAATGTGGTCCTGTGTACAAGAGTGTCAAGATCATTTTGAATTGTGATGTTCTCTTTATAAGTATTAGGACAGTTTATCAGCTGCTCACCTGCCCAATTACTCTTCCAGTCCATCCCCTAGAACAATTTGTAAAGATTCTAAGTAGCAGCAGGCTGAGGAAGGAACTCTGGAGTGCTTCACTTTATTTTTTAATTTCAATGCAGATTAGAATGATTCTTAAACTAGAACCATTCATTGAAACTATCAGTGATGCCAAAATGCAGCTGAGTGATTTGTGATTTGTGTGTTTTTAATGTGGACTTCATGCATCATATTCACATAGAAAGGGGCAGGGCTTCAATTGTCTGGACACACCCACTGTTTTTACATTATTGACTGTAATTGCAGATGCTCCATCTATGCCCCATCTATACTATGATCAAAGGACCATGCTTTCAGTCTACCAGATAGTAATCTATCATGCCATCCCCACATTCATTAGCCACCATCTGCCTCAACTTCCCCTCCTTTTATTCAACACCAGCTACTCAACATTATTTATTTTATTTATTAAATTTTTATTGTGCTTTTATTATTTTTATAAATGACTCAAGACAGCCAAATACTCCTTCATATTCCTATTTTCCTCATGACAACAACCCTGTGAGGTGGGTTGGGCTGAGGAAGAGTGATTGGCCTAAGGTCACCTAGTCAGTTTTCACACCTAAAACAGGACTAGACTTCATAGTCTCCTGGTTTCTAGGCCAGGGGTCAGCAACCTGCGGCTCTGGAGCCACATGTGGCTCTTTCATCCCTCTGCTGCGGCTCCCTGTTGCTCAAAATATTACAGCTGCCAATGTGTGATACTCGCCAGCACACGATTTATTGAGCTTTTCAACCCCTGGTAGGCCAACCATGGATAAATCCAAGAAAAGAAAAGTTTCAGAAGAAAACAGAATGTTTAATTCAACTTGCAGGACTACCTCCTACTGGCCTCCCACCGCCCAGTGCGCTCATATAGGACTGCCCTCCTCTGGGTCCCATCGGCCAGACAGTGTCGGTTGGCAGTCCCCAGGATGAGGGTGTTCTCTGTGGTCGCACCAACCCTCTGGAATGGTTTACCCACTGGGCTCCGGATGGCCCCCAACTTCCGCACTTTCCGCGCCGACCTAAAGACATGGCTCTTTCAGCAAATTCCCTGATCTGCCGTGTATTTTAATTTGGGGCATTTGGGGTTTTTTAATCGGATTTTAACATTTTAATTCTATTTATTGTTGGGTTGTAGCCGCCCCGAGTCCCTCGGGAGAAGGGCAGCATATAAATATGACAATAAATAAATAAAAATAAATAAACTACGTATGCTAGTTCTGTGGCCGCTCAGGAAATAGTCAGGCACAGGAATGGTTTTGTGGCTCCCGGTGTTTTCTTTTCTGTGGGAAATGGGTCCAAATGGCTCTTTGAGTGTTTAAGGTTGCTGACCCCTGTTCTAGGCCAACATCTTAACCTCTGCACTAAACAAATAGATCCCAATTGGTGGGGACTACACTTATATGTTTGCAAATATGGCTCTATGGCTGAAAACAAGTTCACTGAGGTGTACACATGATAAGGCAAGTAGGTTTAGGAATGTTAAACTTCATTAAACAATGAGCAAGCTTCAAGTTAAGTTACTGACTGAGGGAGTTCACATCTGTGGCACTAAATAGAACTGTCATCTCTTGTGACCAGCACGTTTGTGCTAAGAATTGTTTTTAATATATAATACCAAGTATATTCAATTCAGAGAACCAGAGCCATGGTGACTTGGCTCTTCAACCAGGCCTTTGATTAGGGAGAGTGACACTTCATCACACTTGCCATTTTTTATCTTTTTGCATTTTATGAGTTTTATTATCTTTATTATCTTTGATTGATGTGAGCCACCCAGAATCATTGAGAGCTGAGTAGCATACACATTTAATAAACTATTAATATTTATAATTAAATACAACTATAAACATTGTCTTATTTGCCAAAAATGGTAAACACTCATGCTTGTAAAGATGAATAGCAAATGGCTTCCAAGTCCAGAAAGCTTTAGACTTTTTCCCCATGTACTCAACCAGCCTCTGAACAGGCCCCAGCAAAACTTTTTTCTGCTCCTGGGTCTGTGTGGTGTTGTCTTCATGTTATCCCCAGCCCATGAGTGAGAAAAGTTTATGTCATCTTTAGCTACGCCTGCACTATTTTTCCTCTTATTCTGGCAGCAACTAATGGCAAATAGAAGAGGTGAAAAATCTGTTACACTTTTATCACTCATTGTTCTGGAAGGAAGGCAGTCGACTCCAGGAGAGGCGGGAGGCAGACTGACAGCCAGTTTCATGCCAGGATAGTTTTTTGCCAACTCCAAGATGGGTGGGGAGTTCTTTTCAGCAATGAGGAAAGGCCCTTAAAAGAACAAAGAACTGTATAAACAGTTTTCAAATTTTCAGTGAAGAACAAAAGGGCAATTGATTTATCTGAATTTATCTCAACAAAGAGTCCCAGACACTGGATTATTATATTTTGATGTTTTAGAGGTTCCCCCAGACTCCTGAGTGTTTGTTAATGAATGGCAAAGTGATATCCTGATTGCATTAGAATGCAGGGAAATTTGGCATCTAGGAGCTTCTTAACCCAATGGATATAAAATCAGGAATGCTCTTGAGGATGGCAACAAATCCTGCAAGTATATTTTGTCCCGGCTAGCCAGGTTTTGCCAAGTATTCTTCACAGACGAGATGGGGAGTGAAAAGCAACGCTGGAATTGTGGGGGACAAAAGATTGGCAGACTCAGTTCTCTAAGAACAGCATCTGGGCACTCTTTACCTTTTTTCCATTTTGCATTCCAGTTGACACAGTGCACATGCCCAAAATAAAACATGGTATTTTGGTTTATTCCAGAGCAATGATTCACAGATTATGGGGGATTAAAGAAGACAGACGCTGGGTATACAGTAAGAGAAGACCAACTATGGTGCCATCTATAGAACATTACCTAGGTGGCAGGAAAGTTTTCCACATCTCTTTTTTGCGATCTAAATGATTATCTGGATTTGTGCAACCCAGAAATGGTAGCCCTACATATGTGCAAACTAAACCTACTTGGTTGTACATTTGCATTTCAAGAAATAATCGGGACTGGGTCTTCCCTTTTAGTTTTCCTATCACTCCTATCTTTATGATTGTCAGTAAATTGGATCTATTTTGAGATTACGACCAGAGATGACCCAGTCCCTCTGCAGATGAAGCTTCAATTTGTCAAGCTGGGCTTCTCTGTAACTTCAGTATCCCAGTGGATATTTTCAGCTTATGATCTTCTCACACTGGGGAAAAAAAATACAACTCTTAGAAGAATGGCAGGAACAGGTGCCTGGTTAATTCAGCAATTGCCTTTCATTTGAGTTGGGGAAAGAACAGGCTGGGAACTCTGCTTTGTCTGATGGCTTTGCTAGAACATCCCATCCATGTTACTCAGCTGGTTGCACAATTTAATTATCACTTTGCAAGCCATGCAATAAGGGTCAGATGACTCTGCCAAGGAGTGAGCCAGCAGTTCTGAGAAATGCCTTCTTTTAGTGAAAGGTCAAGGAAACCTCCTCTTCCTCATGAAGATGAGCTGGTCCACTCGGCATTTATCAACCACAGAGACAGAGACCCACTCAGTTATCAGGGCTATGTCAGCACTTCCTGTCAGACAGGAAACCATCAGAATCCTGTATCAGGGGACCCATTCTACAGGTGAAGTTACAGACTCACATTAAAATATGCCTGCGTTTCCTAAAGCTTAGCTTGAAGCACAACCACACTTCTTATAAACAGGGGCACGGGAAACAGGGTCAGGAGCCAGGTCTAATCATACATCCCAGGAGGGGGCAATTTTCGGGATGCATCCAAGATCTCAACTTGTACTGTTTGGCAGATGTTGAAGTATAGAAGAGCCTGTTTTGGAGAGAAAAGTAGAAGGGACAGTCTTCTTTTTTCAGTCCTGTGATTCTGTGCATTGACCTTTTGTGCCCTCTTGTACAATATGTTAACTCTTTGGCTGACGTCCATCTATTTAACAACAGCCCTTGGTCCTTGGAACAAATACAGTGTACACTTCAGAGGAGGGTCTCTGAGCAGCTTCACTCGTTAAACAAATCTACTTCCCTGCCTGCCTGCAAACTGCTTTTTGCATTCTTTGAAGAGAAAGGTGGTTAGAAACATAATCATAAAACAATATTTGATAACTAGCATAGGCAATGATGCCGTTAGATTGTCACCACACCCATGTGCCGTTTCAAGCATTCCAGCCACTTGGAAACCAGTTTAGATAAGCCCCAAGCAAACATTACACGGCAGCGTTGCTAAGGAATTATAAAAAGATACATCAAGGTTCAAAACCTATTGGAAAGTCACACACTCTAGCCTGAAAGATTTCAGGCCTGTGGGCTAGCAATAACAAACCAGTGAAAGGAGCACTCTGCACATGGACATGCGGAACAGATTGTTTACCACACGTGAAACCCAGTAAGGATTGCAGAAGGCCATCCTTGAATACTGAACAAAGCACAATAAGAATATGATTCAGCTGCAACTTTTGAAGATCTGCAGGCCTCTGTGGAGGGTTGGTACTATGTTTGGCTTTGGAGTGCCAGTTGGGGCAGCCTGCTATTGACTCTTGGCCATATCCTAAGATGATCTTCAGAAGCCCTCTAATTTCATTGGGTATCTGCTGTCCAACAACACAACTGATGACATAGAGCAGGTTTTTCTTCATGATAGAGCCACATATGTGGAATATTCTCCCTAGAGCAGTGTAGTAGCTTGAAGATGGGTGGACTTCAACTCCCAGAATCCCCCAGCCAGCACTGCCCTAAAGAAACTTAACCTGATGCCTTGTTGGTTTTTTGTTATTATTTATTTTATTTTATTTTATTATTTATTTATGTCCCACTTTTATTACTTTTACAAATAACTCAAGCCGACGAACATATCTAACAGGCCTTTCACTCCTTTTTTTCTCCACAACAACCGTGTGAGGTGAGATGGGGCTGAGAGAGTGACTGGCTCAAGGTCACCCAGCTGGCTTTTATGGCTAAGGCAGAAGTTGAACTCACAGTCTACTGCTTTCTAGGCTGGTGCCTAGAAACCTTTAGCCAGTTTGGTCTAATATTATTATTATTAGGATTTGTAGATGTTGAGATTTGGCATTTTTATCCATCTATTGAGTCCTTCCCAAGGACTCAGATAGGCAGATGTAGATGTTTGATGGTGTTACAGATATTGTCTAATATTACTATAGCACTATCAAGCATCCACATCTGCGATCACAGGCCCTTGGGAAGGACTTGATAGATGGATAAAAATGCCAAATCCAGTCTGAACATCTGGCCGACTGTGCAATAAACCATAATAATGTTATATATATTATTATAGTATTAGTATTATTAGGTTAAGAGCCGTGGTGGCACAGTGGTTGGAATGCAGTACTGCAGGCTACTTCTTCTGCCTGCTGGCTGCCTGCAATTTGGCAGTTCGAAACTCACCAGGCTCAAGTTTGACTCATCCTTCCAAGGTTGATAAAATGAGGACCCAGATTGTTGGGGGCAATATGCCTACTCTGTAAACCACTTAGAGAGGGTTGTAAAGCACTGTGAAGCGGTATATAAGTCTAAATGCTATTGCTATTGCTAAAAACCTTTCCATTTTCCAAGATCTAAAACTCCCCCGTTTTATATTATTCTTAGAGTTGTTCTCTGAATTTGATTGTTTGACTTCTAATTCATCCTATGAAAGGGAGGCATGGAATTCCTTTTCTCAGAAGTAAAACTTTCCAGTCAAAATTCTTTAGTGCAGACCTATATGGATGCTTAACTGGGGGACAAATGGTCTGGTCTCAGCTTGTTGTTTATATGGCCTCTGGCAAGTGCTTTCTTGAAATGCTTATGTATACAACTTGTCGATTAAATTGGGCTCTTCTGTGGATCACATTTTGAGACAAGATTGAGTCTGAAAGCTTAGGAATCCAGCCCAGGAACAGATAGGGATGACATCCATCCAATTAACAGAGGCAGAGTAGGCTACGGAGGGTCCAGGTTAAGACCTGATCAACAAAGCTCCCTGAAAGTCAAAAAACATGCAGCCACACCAAAGCTTTAATAGCCATCTTTACTGCAGTTACAGTAATAGTCTTGATGGCTGACAACACAATTTAAACACTTTTATCTGGGAATAAAGTCCACTGAGTTCAATTGGATGCAATTCTGCCTAGGAGTAAACTTTTTTTGCATGTATTACATGCAATGCATATAGAAAATATACTTGGGCTTCAACTGACTTGTTCCAGCCACCATCTCGACTTTTTAAATCTCCTTTGCTGGTGCCCTACCACAAAAGGATATAAAGTGATCTTATAATGCTCCCTGATATCATTCATATATTTATCCATTTGTATGTGCACATTACAAATCATAGCATTCCTCCAAAAGTTGCCACCAGAAGAGATAATGTATTACATCTATGAGGATTAATTAATCCTCATATTAATTAATTAATTAATTAATTAATTAATTAATACCTGGATTGGCGCACAGGTAACCCTCGACTTACGACAATTGGGAGCAGAATTTTCATTGCTAATCAAAACAGTTAAGTGAGTCGCACCCAATTTCATGACCTTTTTTGTCTTGGTTGTTAAATGAATCATGCAGTTGTTAAATGAATCCCACATTGACTTTGCTTGTTAGAAGCCAGCTGGGAAGGTAACAAGGGGTGATCGAATGATCCTGGGACATCATAAATACATTGCCAAGCGCCCAAATTCTGATCACAAGATCATGGGGATGCTGCAACGGTCATAAGTGCAAGGATTGGTTATAAATCACTTTTTCAGCGCTATTATTACTTCACATGGTTGCTAAGCTACTGATTGTAAGTCAAGGAGTACCTGTAGTGGTTAAAGTGCTGGCGTAAAAACCAGGAAACTCTGATTTTTAGTCCTACCTTAGCATGAAATCCAGCTAGGTGACTTTCTTTCTCAGCCCAATTCACCTCACAGAGTTGTGATGCAAACAGGAGGAAGAGAAGGAAGGAGTAATATGTACGTTCACCACCTTAAATTCCCTGTAAAGTAATAAAGGCAAGATAAAAAAGTCAAAATCAAAATCTAACCGATTTTAAATTTAGTTACATGTGAATTATATAATCTATAACTGAATTTGGTCCTGTGCCTGCCCATTTCTGGCACTCCACTCAAAAGCCAAGTATGCTTCTAAGTCTGAAAAAATGCACTCTTGCCATACGCTGTGAATTCATTGTTTGTCTGAGGAAATAAATCATTGACAAAGAGAAGGCAAACTATTTCGAAAAAAGAAGCTTAAAGCAACAACAATTACCCCAACAAAATATTTGCCAAAATATTTGGCAGCCATAGCATAACTGGTGTGTGTGGAAAATTGGGAGTGGATTGTAGCTTTGAGGAATAGGCCCAAAAGGTTTTAAGCAGGGGTGAAATCCAGCAGGTTCTGACAGATTCTGACAAGAGAACCGGTAGCGGAAATTTTGAGTAGTTCTGAGAACTGGCAAATACCACCTCTGGCTGGTCCCAGAGTGGGGTGGGAATGGAGATTTTGCAGTATCCTTCTCCTGCCACACCCACCAAGCCATGCCCACCAAGCCACGCCCACAGAACCGGTAGTAAAAAAATATTGAATTTCACCACTGGTTTTAAGGGAGTGCTGGGATGATCATGTAGGGAGAAATCCTGCCCAGTGCCCATTTGCTTCTGGGCCCCATCTTGAAAATGGATGATTTTTGTTTGACAAATCCTGAAATTCCAAAAATGATCTGACAAATGTAACTAAAGGGCTCAAGAAAAAACAGGCCTGTGTACCGTTTTTCCTCAGAACCTGCTTAAGAATCCAGTAGCAATCCAGGAGAAACTAATAACTTTGAAAATAAATTTTGAAAGGAATTCTAATCACCGAATATAGAGCGGAAAAACATTTCTATGGCCTAGAATTCATTTTTTCTACTTCTTTCCTCACACTCAAACACATAGAATTAGGGGCAAGGGGTGGTATTTTTGCTTTGGATTTGCCATATAGAAGAGACTAAATGTGGACATACATCTCTTCTTTAGAAAAAGAAATGCCAGCTCCCTTCTGCACTGCTGTCTTCGCAGTTTGAGCAATCAAGCCCTTACATAAATCAATTATAATTAGTATTTACTTCAAGAATATCTAGGGTGTGTTGTTGCCACCAAAACAGGATCCAAAGGGATGCAAAGATATTAAAATATCTACATAACTGCACCTCATAAAACCATTTTCAAGCACTGACAACAGCTGTTAAAACATGGTCATAAAAAACCATGCTTATCAAAGCAAATATGACGGAAATGGTAGAAAAGGAAATTAAATCATAATCACCATTTAGGAGGACCCACTACCTAAAACATTGATCTTTAATCCTTGAAACACCGAGAGAGGGGGCTAAATACATAATTGCAGACAACTTTTTCTATACCATGGAGTTGGCCCTTCCATGCCTGATAAAATGGCCCTCCATTTTTTCTTTCGTAATATTCATTTTTATTAAAGTCAGGCACAAAGGAGCCCATTTTCCTAGCAGTAAGGGTAGAGAGAAAAACTACTCTGAACAGGAGGTCAGTACCCAAAATGTGCCTCAAAGGTACAGGAAGCCATCAAACCTCCTTTTGTCCTCCTCTCACAATTGCCAAAAACCAGCACTATTGTTCTTCCCCCACACTGAAACGAAAACTACAGAAAAATAATTGTACAGGTAGTCCTCAATTTACAACAGTTCATTTAGTGACCATTCAAAGTTACAACAGCACTGAAAAAAGTGACTTATGACTGTTTTTACAGTTACAACCTTGTAAGCATCCCCATGATCATGTGATCAAAATTCCTAGGCTTGGCAATTGGTTCATACTTATGACCATTGCTGTGTCCCAAAGTCACATGATTCCCCTTTGGCCACCTTCTGACAAGCAAAGTCCATGGGGAAGCCAGATTCACTTAACAACCAGGTTACTAACTTATCAACTGCAGTGATTCATGTAACAACTGTGGCAAGAAATGGGGCAAAACTCACTTAACAAATGTCTCACTTAATAACAGAAATTTTGGGCTTAATTGTGATCATAAGTCAAAGACTACCTGTATAAGCCCTACAATAATCTTGCATAGTTTGAACAAATTAAACCTCCAAAAACAACAGGAGGGAAAAAGAAAAAGGAAATGCTGTCCTTGCCTTTAAGCAAGGCACAACCACTCGGCAATATGCCTCCATGCACTACAAAATTTATCCCCTATTATTATTATTTTTTTAAATGTGGCCTTTGGCCATCACATGATTCCCTGCCTCTACATCAGCACATCACTGAAAACAATAACCAGCCAGCCCTTTTAACTGAGTCTTGGAGCACTGAAACAACCAAGGCAGTGGTGTCATCTCAAGAGAATCAAGTAAGTTCCTTCCTCAATGTTACCCTCTCCCACCATGTTTGGGGAGGGTGTTTGTTGAAAAGAGGGTTTGTTGATCAGGGTTTGTTGAAAAGAGCTACCTGTCACAAGAACAATGGTTATTCAATCCGGATTGAACAAAGTTTAGCTTCCTCATCGGCCACGTTATGCCGTTGAAGGAGCACAACTACCTGGAACTGGGAAATCACAAGATCTGAAGGCAGACTGCAGCCATTTCTTTTAAATATGCTGATTGGCCACTGTAAAGTGCCCTTAAGGCGCAGATCCTCTCCCCCTCTTCCTCCACCCCATAACTCTCTCTGAGATGATTAGAGACAGATGGTCAGGCGATAAGATATTTAAAAATTGACTAGGTCACCCACAGAGCTGTACATCTCCAACAACATTCCTTTAAAGTCAGAACTGGCTTTTCCAGATAGGGCAGATGTAGATAGCCATGCAGGATACTTCTGCATGATGCAGAGAAGAAAAGAAAGGGCAGGATGGAGCTGAGGAAAAAGATGGTCGAGGAAATGAAAATGGAGCCCTGGAAGAGAATCCCTATGAATTGTCTCCCCCTCTACCCTGTCATTTAAAGAAGGGTCTTCATCTTGAGCTAAGTCTTCCCCTTGGGGGCTGAAATTCGCCATGGGAGAGGAAACAGCAAATTAGGGATCCTCAGACCTATTTCATACTGACAGCAAAATAGGAAAAAATGTGCCCATGAAACAGATCTTTGTCCGCCTTGCTGTACATGTGTTAGTTTCTCTCTTTGAGGCAAAGGTGTGATGGAGCTCAGAGTGCTGCACAGCTAGGAGTCTCTCAATAAAAATCCTATTCTTTTCTTTCCCAGACCCCCTCCAAAAAGGCTACTCATTTCCATCATGGTTCACGTGGCAGACTTTGAAACCATTTAGCTATCTCTGTGTTTACCCCTCAAGTCCCCCTAGTAAATCAGTCTACAAGGCCACGTTAATGTTCGCTACCAAGCATGCCTTGGCCAACACCTGCTTTTCACATCACACTCCAGCATGCACAACTCTCTCAAATGGGTCACATAAGGGCAGATGTTGATCACACGGCATCACAAGAGCTGCCCTGTTCTCAGATCGGCATCACAGCACACTTTCCAGAATACCCTAAAGCAGATGGCCTGAGCCTCACCTCCTTAAATGTGTTGGATTATATGACCCGCTATCCCAAAACAGCACTACCCTGGATAGGGAGGATGCAATTTTGATCTGACATATAATGCATTTAGCTGCATTTGTTAAAACAGCAACAATACACTTCGAGACAATGTTAGACAAGTGTTTATCAAAGCAGGTCTCAAAAGCAATTCCAGCATCGCCTAGATTCCACAAACCCCATTTCAGAATTTCAGGAAAAATCTCACAACACCCCTAGGAGGTAGGCTGAGATTGATACTATTAGCATCGGCCACATATCAATTACAAGAATGCTGAGGCTGAGAAAACAGGTGAAGGCCATCTGGAGAATTTGGAATAGATGCAATAAGGGCTTTGTGACCTGTCAGTCATATTTGTAAGCACTGCATACTGCTTTTTGCTCTTCCTTCTGCTCAGGGGAATTTGTAAGCTTCGCATGAATCCTTATAATTCAGTTACACCTATTATGAATAACAACAGTATTTAAAAGGTAGAATTATTTAGGGCTACAAAAAGAGGTAGAAAAATTAAAATAAATACATTGGCACACATTTGCCAGAATTCTGGGATCTGCTAAGAAATCATCACATATGTTCTGAACTCTTGCTGACCTTCCCTAATTGCAGCAAACTCTTAGACTTTCCTTTCCCGCCTTTCCCAAAATGATTGCCAGGTTGGTGTAGTGGTTAAGGAGCTGGCCTAGAAACCAGGGGCCTGCGAGTTCTAGCTTCACCTTAGGCCTGAAAGCCAGCTGGTTGACTCTGGGCCAATCATTTTCTCACCTATCTCAAAGGATTGTTGTTGTGGAGGTGGGGGGGGAAGGGGAGGAGGAAGGAGTATTATGTATGTTCCTTGCCTTGAGTTACTTATAAAGCAATTATAATTGAACTGCACATAGTAATAAAACATAACAATCTAATAAGTAAATAATAAATTACCTTCCACTCAAGTACATCTTAAACTCTATCCACAGCACCAATCAGATGCAGAAGGTGGAGGGAGACATTCCAAATAGAACAGGGATGTTCATTGGGACCAAAGGATTTAGCTGGTGCTACTGGGAATTGCGATCACATTCCCTCTGGAGGTACCAGCTAATTCTCTCCAAGCTCTGTAGGCCTTGTCAAAAGGAGGTCGGCAATCAGAATGTCCCTTTGCTCATATACATTTCTGGGTGCAGTCCAAGAGGTTAGGGCCACCATTTAAGGCCCAGAGTTCTTTTGGAGCATAGTTATTCCTAAAATGTTAATTCATCTCAGCGCCCAGCCAGTCAGCTCAGCTCAGCTCGTAGGCATGTACTGCCAATAGCAGCATTTCTCACCCCTCGGCATGGATTTACCTCTGAAGACCTGGGCCTTCACAGTTTTCTCTTTTGGCTGACAGCCAGTCCTTGAAGGGAGTGACCTTAAGAACACACAGTGCAGGTCCCATTCATGCAGTTAGCATCTGATTAACTTCGGGGTTTTTGATTTAATCCCTAGTGTGATCTTGCTGCAGAAATACAGAGACGTTTGCTTCACGTTATGCCTTCTCAAACAGCAGAGTAGCTATTGGGTCTCTGTGTCCTTGACTTCCGGCATAATACTTTAGGACTTTACCGGTGGATCAGGCAAAGCAGCCCACAATATTTTAGCCTTTATTGAGATAGCCAAGCCAACAGGAATAATACAACCTTTCCAAGCGATTTCACACAGAACTGGTAAATTTGTAGGAATGGTGGGAATACTTTCTGAAGGCTGGGAGTTGCATCAGACAGAGCTGAATTCTCCGATGTCCGCAGTTCAACTCCCCCTCTAGATGGTGCAGAAAGATCAGGTGCTGGGAAGGCTTGGCAGAAGAGCAGCTGCAGCCAGGTCACCCGTTCTACGCTTGCCATAAAGGCTCAGACTATCTGTAGCTTTAACAAATGCATGGCATTTAGTACGTCCAAGCTAAATCAGGATATTGCACATTGGGGTAAGGAGATTTTAAATCAGAGATGTCTAATCAGATCCTCCTCCCTACTAGTGGGTTTCTGAAACTTTGAATTTGTTAAAGTTTCCTGACAGAACAATTAATCAGTGGAACGGCTTGCCTCCAGAAGTTGTGGGTGCTCCAACACTGGAGTTTTTAAAAAAGAGATTGGACAACCATATGTTTAAAATGGTATAGAGTTTCCTGCTTAAGCAGGGGGTTGAACTAGAAGAACTCCAAGGCCAACACTTGTTTTGTTATTCTTCCAAAAATGTTCATTCTCTAAGCTTTAAGGGCAGAAAATTATTAAAGGCAGGGCAAGCAATCATCCTAAAAGTATTTAATTAACTGAACTTCATTTTAATTGCGCTTATACTGATATGAATTCAATTTCATTTTTGCCCTGGCCCCACCTATATTTTTGGAGATTGACTCTGAACTAAAAAAAAATGACTCAAAGGCCAGCACAGCCCTCAATCCTAGAATATTTTTGGTTTTTCTAATGCAGATTGATTCCTTGTGCCTATTATTTGCATTGCCAATAGGTGATCTTTTGAAGTAACTATGCAAAGCATCTGTCCTACTCTCAAACTGCAGCCCTTCCCCTGGGGGTTAACTGAGGCATCTCTCCTCTATTCCCCCTGGTGAGGGCTCAAACAACTTCCCCACCCTGTGCTGTGTGCAATGAACCAATGGAGCCTGTTGACCTTGTCATTGTAATAGGTCTTCAATTGATGGAATGTGAAACTTGCTGCTGAGAGGGATGTGCTGGGTACAAGGGTAGCATTATTCACCACTTTTAGTTTTTATTAAAGAGGGTCGATATGTCAGACCTTGAAAGCACAGCTATATTTTATTTGAAGAACTATACCAAGGGATGCACCAAAGGGCTGAAAATAGGGATTGCTTCTAATTACAATTACTAAAGGGCATTACTGAAGCAGAGTGTTGTACTAGGCATTGCTAAACTACTACTAAATTCAGTACACCTCTGCAACATTTGTGTAATCACATTCAATACATGGAGAAAAGAGCTGCATTTTCCCAAGGCCAGCTTTCAGAAATTATATAGAAATTATATAGAAATGTATAGACTTCTATAAATTATATGCATATGGTTCTATGAAGGGGGATACTAAAAGCTAAATTAGTGTCTGGCAGTACACAGCTTACATTTATGCAAAATAAGTGCAATGTCCTTTCACAGTAGCAGGTAATCATTTCAGCATTGCAAAGAAAATTAACATCTGTCGTAAGAGAGAGCAGCATGGCCTCTCTTGATAGCCCAGAAGAATAGATCGAAGCCTCAGTATTAGATTTAATTCAAGAACTAAAAACATCATGGCCTTTGAAGATGATGGCATTAAGCTGTTAATCGTCTGGGGCTGGAGTAGTGGAAGCAAACAGGATGGCCACCAACAGCAAAAAGGGAAGTCCAGAAACTCAAGGCCGGAAGCAGATAATCAGGCAAGATATTCAGAGTGGACATTAACTTATCCAGATTAAAGTATCCCAGATAAGGACCAGGAACCTAGGAATTGAAAAAAGCTGTAAGATGAGAGGATCAGCAGTGAATAAATCAAGAAGCCCAACAGTATTTGAATGCAAAGATCAGCTGAGACAGCTAGTTTTAATTTTCCCTCTTCAGTGACATTGGAGCTAAATGTATTTATATCTATTTTAAGGGAACCGATTAAAATAAGTGTAAATTCAAGACATCCCTTCTTTTCCTTCTCTATCTTTCTAGTGTAAGGAGAAAGAATTTCTCACTTTTCCAATCTTGGAAAAATAAGCAGATGAGAAGACTACATTTGCAATTTCCATTCAGTGGAGAGAAAAAGAGAAGAAATAAAAGAACTGATGGATTAAGAGTCCTCAGACCTTCCATATGGACCTCACATGATAGGAAGTAGCACCAGGCTGACTTTGGCTGGATTCCAAAACCAAGTAGGGGCAGATTTAACTAATTTATGAATAAGGACCGAGTAGGAATGCTAAATGAAGAATTTGGAAAGTATCCCAGAAGAAAGTAGTGATAAACTAACATTTGAGCTGCTCCCAAGATTACATGGTTATCTTACATTTGAGTTTTTCCTTGGAGAGTTTACTTTCACCTTATAAAATACTTTCCTCAAACGATGAAGGAGTAAGTACCGGTAGCTTATTTACTTTTGTTCTAATGCCTTTGACATTTCTAGAGATTTATTTCTCAAATGATTAACATGTAACAAGTTTGAGTTAGTACCATTTCTTCAAGTTCTTCTTTCAGATGCTTGGTTAAAAGAAAGCCCACAAGCATATTGGTTCTTGTATGAATAAATTTATCTCAATAAAAGCTAACTAAGAAGGGCATCAGGGTCTGCCTTGCCAAATAGACTTAAGGAGTTAACCTAACAAAAGAGCAGGGCTTTTATTGGGCAGCCGCAGCTGCCATCTTGACATTTTTGATCCTTGTAGACACTTCTGCCAGCATGACCACTTCAAAACAGAGAGCCAATGCTGAAATTTAGTGGTGCAATCTTCTGGTAGCATTTTCAAAAGAAAGAGGAAAATTTTAAAAGGTGTGAGCTAAGCCTAAGATGTTTAGTTTACTTCAATAAGCGAATGTACTTTTATCTCACTCTACCTAACCCAGGAAAAATCTAAACCTTCCAAATCTAAATCTGTTCATCGTATTTTTATTGCATATACTGCAATCCCCTTGACCACCAGAAAAGAAATTTATTTTAGAAAGAAATGATGTTGATAGAATGATGTTGCCATTAACTATCTGGTCTCAATCTTCTCCATTATGGTGGCAAGTATTGCATTTCCATTTAAATCATTATTTCAGTTCTGAAAAAATGTAACGTATAAACTAGCACATGGACATGTTATGCAGATTGGTACTGTATGTGCCATTTGGGTAATATTTTTCTTCTTTTGTCAGTTTTCTTGTCAAAATTATCTTTTTTTTAATTTATTTATTTTTATTTATATGCCGCCCTTCTCCGGAGACTCAGGGCAGCTTACAATGCATTGAGCAATAGCCTTCATACTTTTGTATATTTATACAAAGTCAGCTTATTGCCCCCACAAACCGGGTCCTCATTTTACCTACCTTAGAAAGGATGGAAGGCTGAGTCAACCTTGAGCCTGGTGAAAATTGAACTCGCAGTAATTACTCGCAGCTGGAAGCTAAATACTACCTTTAACAGTAGCATTAGTCTGCTGCACCACTCAGGCTCCTATAGCCTTAATGGCACATCTTAATGGCACAGAAATGCTGTCTTTTGCAATGGGTAAACCCCTCCCCCAGCTGAAACATTTTTTCTTAGCTCATAAGTACATAAAGTGAATGGATTGCATTCATTTATTTTTAGTGGCCCAAACATGAGCCAGCCACTTTAAAAACAAAGGATCATATAATCAAATTCAAGCATGGCTACAGTTCAGCCAACTAGTCTATTTATACTTGAAAAAGCTGCTGCTGCTGCTACTACTACTATTACCCTGTTTCCCCCCATATAAGACATCCCCTGATAATAAGCCCAATCGGGCTTTTGAGCCAGGGGTGGGTTCTAAATTTTTTTACTACCGGTTCTGTGGGCATGACTTATTTTGTGGGCGTGACTTAGTTGGGGGTAATGTGACTGGGTGGGCGTGGCCAACTTTTTTTTTTTTTTACTTTTAAAAGCATTTTTTCTACAACCTTAAGAGGTTGCAGAAAAAAATGCTTTTAGAAGCCTCTGGCGATCAGGCAACTCAGCTGGGATCGCCAGAGGCTTTTAAAGGCATTTTTTTTCCTACAACCTCTTCGGCCGATCATCAGAGGCTTTTTTTTTTTCTTTTAACAGCATTTTTTCAGCTGAAGAGGTTGTAGAAAAAATGCTTTTAAAAGTTTTTTTAAAAAAGCCTCTGATGAGGTGGGTGGGCTAAGTGAGCGGCGACCGGGCCGGAGACGGTTCGGGGGCGTGGCCAGCCAATGTTATTACTGGTTCTCCGAACTACTACAAATTTTTACTACCAGTTTTTGTGAACCGGTGCGAACCGGGAGCAACTCACCACTGTTTTGAGTGCATGGC